ACTTTGACAGTCTGCACAAGGAACGACTCGACAAGATCCACCCTTTCTTTTTCCCGAAGGGTCTCGAGGATGCTACGTGCCGACTACTGCCTGATGGACTTGTGGTCATTTTTCTTCACAAATTTCTCCACAAGGGACAGGTGATACGAGGCGGTCCAACAACTTGGAGCGTTCTATGACAATGAGACCAAGCCTATCCTTAGCAACAGTGGGGACAGGTAGGACCTCAGTAAGTAGGGACACTTGGTGTTTGCGTACTGACGCTGAACACACAGCTTGATGCAGTCACACAAAAAGTTAGCCAAGGGTGAGGGTGGCATTGGGTATGTTTCCCCCTCTATGTCCAGTTCTTTATATATAATGTCCCTTCAGACTCAGTACATCTTCAACCTCCAAATGAAATGAAAGATAGCTCGGGTGACTGCAATGGCGCAGTTTAGGGAAATAGGCCAGACCTGCGCCACGTACAACAACACTGAGCTTACCTCACACCTGATGACCAGGTTTTTACCCGCAATGGAGAGGGATCGGTGGTCCCATCTGCCTAGTTTCTGCCTCGCTTTGGTGACACAGTCCTCCCAAGTTTTGGTGCATGCCTCAGCCCCTCCAAACCAAATACTCAGCACCTTCAGGTAATCTGCCCTGGTGGTGAAGGGAATAAAGGATTGGTCAGCCCAGTTCCCAAACAGCACCGCCTCACTCTTGCCTCGATTCACCTTGGCACCAAAGGCCAGTTCAAACCGGTCGCAGATGCTCACAAGACTGTGCACTGACAGCGGATCCAAGCAGAAAACGGCGACTTCTTCCAATGTACAGGGAGGCTTTAATCTGCAGGTCCCCGGTGCCTGGAATAATCACCCCTCTCAAACTCGCATCCTTCCTGATGGATTCAGAAAAAGGCTCTATAGAACACACAGAAAAGGGAGATTAGAGATGGAAACATTGCCTGACTCCAGATCTGAATGGGAAGCTTTCAGATTCCCACCCATTGTTTGAGACTGCACTAACGATGTTGATACAGAGCAGTCGAATCCAATTACGGATACCCTTCCCAAAGACCATTTTGGACAGCACGTCTCACATGTACATGTGCGACATCTTGTTGAAGGCCTTCTCCTGGTCCAGGCTGATGAGGCAGGTGTCCAACCCCCTGTCCTGCATGTAGATGATTGTATCCCTGAGGAGCACAAGGCTCTCAGTGATCTTCCTGTCCAGTACAGCACAGATTTGTTTGGGGTGTATTACTGATCCCAGAGCAGACCTGACCCGGTTGGCAATAAGCTTAGACAGGATTTTGTAATTCACATTCAACAGTGAAATTGCTTGTAAATGAGGGTGATGATGCCTTTCCTCATGGATTTCCTCATGGTACCTGCAGGAAGCATATTGTCATACACCTCCAGCAGGTCCTGGCCAATCAAGTCGCCTTAGAGCAGAATACAATTCGGCCAGTAAGCCATCACTTCTGGGAGTTTTATTCTTTTCAAAGGACTCAAGGGCCTTGGTCAACTCATTCAGAGAAAGTGGGTGATCCAGCCTTTCCTGCGTGTTGTTATCTAAGACCTCGATGATAGAGGACTGGAACGACTGGGAGGCCGTACTGTCAGTGGGCTTCGTGTTATACAGTCTGGCATAAAAGGATTTGCTGATTCTCAGGATGCCAGACTGAGGTGATGTTACCGAGCCACCTTCCTCCTTCAGGCTGCTGAGCACAGAGCTCTCCTTGTGCACTTTCTAAAAGAAGAAATGCAAGCACATCTCAACTTGCTCCAGTGGACCCTGGATCAGAAGATTATCTTGGATGTCTCAGAGGCAAAGAGCAAGGCTTGCTGTCTCTTCACCTCCTGGAGGTTGTCTGTGACAACGATCCCCATTGTTTGCAGCAGGAGCAGGTTCTGTATACTTTTCTGGAGTTTTGACTGTTTTCCCCACCTCTCTCTCGCCTTTGAGGATAAAGAACCTCTTGATGCTCCCTTTGAATGTTTCCCACCAGTTTACTGGATACTCAAAGAGGGGTTTCATGGTTCTCCAACCTTTGAGCTCCTCAATGTTTTCTGGGGTCAACAATTTCACGTGCAGCTTCCACATTCCTTGCCAGCCCTTGGGTCATCCTGTAGGTGAGTTGGCCAGCAGGAGGCAGTGGTCAGAAAAGAACACTGGCTTGATGTCAGTAGATCTGACGGAGAACGCTCGGGACATAAACAGGAAATCTATCCTTGAGCAGATAGATCCGTCTGGCTGTGACCAGGTGCATCTACACTGCGCTCCATGTGCAGGGGTGCTGAAAACATTGTGCAGCCTGACTGTTTCCATCAGGAATCAGGATGTGGTGTCCTGTTTGCTGTCAGGCCCTCTGTATCGTCCATCCGTACCGATAGTGCAGATGAAGTCTCTGGTCAGAATGACTGGCCTGGACATAGCCAGCAGCAGTGGAAGCTGCTGCAGTACAGACAACTGCTCACGCTTTACCCATTTTAGATTTATATAATTGCTAAAACCCGAAGCCCATTTACCCAAGGTCTTTTCACTGGGGCAGACCCTGCATCCCTGTGGTGTGGGTGAACTGATGGACCTGTGGAAGGCTGACGTAGCTGTCCGGTTCCATCCTGGGGCCATTGCCCTGGTCCGGTGTCATCATGGCAACGATGAAACCGGGAACGTCTCATTTGGAGTCCGAGCAAGAGACTGTCGTCCCCTGCTCCTTACTCAAAGCGCCGCTGCACCCAGTTGCACAGACCTATGGTTCCCGACAGTGGAGGGCTGGCTTTCGCTGAGCCCTTTACAACATGCACTGTTTTCAGGTTGGGGGTTGCTCTTCTCCTTCTCCCTGGTGGTCTTGATCCTCCTTTTCTGCTGGTGACCCTCTTTCCGCAAGTCTTCTTCATCAGAGGAGCTGGTACTCTGACCTTCGTGCAGCTGCCTCTTCCCATTCTGTTGTGGGCCTGGCAAGGTTTTCTTTCATGGTTTTTCTTCTCTGTTTTCCACTTACTTGGCTTCTTCATCGCCTCCTCCCCCATTGACTCTGGATTCTCCAGTGGAGCTGGAGGCTGTTGTGCTACTGTGCTGGCTTCCTGTCTTTGCTCTCTGGCCTGTCTCACCTTCTGTGTGACCCTCACTTAATTTTTCTTGGAGGGTGGCACCTTTTTGTTCTTTGGGGAGGCATGGCTCATGTTGCCACTGCTCGCATCTGAGCATATGTGGCCCTGCATCTTGGGCACGCGTTATACAGGTGGCCCACTTCCCCACACAGGTTGCAGTTCTTTGCCTGTTGGCAGTCTTTGGTCAAGTGCCCCTCCTCCTTACAGTTCCTGCACACAGTCACCTTGCACTTTGCCACTATGTGCCCTGACCTCCCCCAGTTTTGACAGACCCTGCACTGCCGCACGTATGTCAAATAACCTCAGCTCTATCCAATCGCAAAGCTAGATGTTGGGTGGAGGTAACACAGTATGGATCTGGAGGAACACAGCAGGTCAGGCAGCATCAGAGGAGCAGGAAAGCTGACGTTTTGAGTCAGGACCCTTCTTCAAAAATGGGGGAGGGGAAAGGGAGCTCTGAAATACATAGAGAGAGGAGGGTTGAGCCTGGAGGTAGGTGGGATGATGATAGGTGAATGCAGGTAGGGAGTGGTGGGGATTGGTCAGTGAGGTGGGAGGAGCGGATAGGTGGGAGAGAAGACGGACAGGTTTGGCATACAAACCTGGTAAATTCCCCCTCCCCCATCTCTGAAGAAGGGTCCCGACCGAAACATCAGCTTTCCTGCTCCTCTGATGCTGCCTGACCTGCTGTGTTCCTCCAGATCCACACTGTGTTATCTCTGACTCCAGCATCGGCAGTTCTTACTATCTGTTGGGTGGAGGATGTTCCAATCGACCTCTGCCCTCAGGGTTACCCTGCCTGGTTGTTTGCTGGTCTGGATCCCGAAGTAGTCCATCACATCATTGCTGCCATTTTCCACTTGTACATACGTTCCCAGGAAAATAGGACATCTGCTGCTGGCACATGGAGGTTAGACATATGGATGGTGACCATCGTACTCCTCTGTGCAGGTAACATGAATATTGGCACTGCTTTCAGAATGGAGAGGCGACCCTCAGCTCCTTTCTCCTCAAACATCTTCAGGAGACACTCACGTTGCTTCGTGCTCCTAAAAATCACATCAAAGCACTCACCACTGGAGAAATCCTGCAGGCAGCAGACGTCTACTTTTCTTCTTTCAAGCAGCAGTCCTCCAATATCCAAACATGATCTTTGGTCTAGTGATGATCTCAATAGCTCTGATGACTCGCAATTCAACACTTGATGTTAGCCAAACGCCTCATCCCTTAACACTGTAGGCGTTTGCACACCGAAACAGCTTTTTAATAAAGAAGGCAAGTTAGTGAAGGGTTTATACTAACCAGAGCTTGGAGGAAGAAGGCTACCTCACCTCATTTGTTGGGTTTGTGAACATGTTTCCCTTTTTGGCTATCAAAATTATGCTGGTGAACATAACTCCAGTGGGCTGGTTTATTGTTGAGTATTCATTACATGCTAATGAATGCAAAACAGATTCTTGACTATGAAGGTCAGGAAGACCAACTGTTTGAAAAGGACTGGGAATTTAGTTGCAAAACTTTAACCTGCCATCAGAAAACTGAAATTTGGTTACTTGGCCAATTAAGTCCCATCAACTGCCCTTGTCAAAGTTCTGGGTGGACCCAGAAGATTCCACCCATTGTAATTTTATCATTGAGGAGGGCAGTGTGTAATGAAGACCTCTCGTGACCATTCTCTGTATTCTTAAATGCAACAAAAACCGGATTAAACAAGATCCTCTTTTACTTAACTCTTATGCCGTCTTTACTCCTTGAAGCCTACCTCTTGGACCTAGCTTTTGGTTATCTGATGCCTTTGTCACATCTTGGTTAACTGCTCCTGGGGAAATCTTTTCCAAGGTCCGGAAGGAAGGAGCTATATAAATGTAAGTTTTGTTAGGTGTCTGTTTCCATGACAAAAGATCCCTCTTTTCCCCCCAACAATCGCGCCCCCCCAACACACAAAAAGAGAACCCTCGGCGGAAGTGAGATAACATCATGGCGATGTTGCTTCCGGTGCCGTGTATGCTAATGATGTGGATGAGGTTGGCCCGGGACTGAGCTGTTACCGACTGGCTCCCGGACATCGAACCCGGCGTTAAATCATCACCGAGTCCTGGGAGACCGAGCCCGAGCCCGAGCCCGTCACCGATCGGGGTGGACGTTATCAGCCAAGAAGGAGGTGGCTGCCTTACCGGAGCACCATGATCCGCTGGATACGGCAGCAGCTGGTAGGTCTCATGCCGCTTGTGGAGGGGAATCTGCGGGCGTTTGGGGGATGAGGGGTGATGAGAGTGGCTGTGAGCTCGGAAGGATGTGACCGGCGAGCTGTTCCTGTTTCATGTGGACCGTGAACCGGGATCACTCTTCCTCTCTCTCTTTCTCTCTGTCTGCTTCCACCGTGTGTGTAGCCGGGTCGTGGGCCCGAGAATTGGTAAAGCAGCTGCTTGTCAGCTGGCGGCTGGGACAGGAATGGTTTCGTGTTAAATTTTGCTGTTACTGGTTTTGAGTGCTTGGTGATGGAATTTTTAACTCCAAAAAAAGTTTTGTAACTAGGGAAGGAAATATTTCAACCCATTCAGTTTGGAATCGTTAACCCGAGACGTTATTTTGTACGTTAAATTGTTAACCTGAGACAGTGTTTCAGGGACTCGACGAAGGTTTCCACTCTTTAAAAGTTATTTGCCAACACCAGTTACTCGGTCTGAAATTGAAATTAAAAACAATTAGATTTTTTTTGGGGGCAAGACGACTCTTTCAAGGAGCTATTTTTTTTTTTAAGTTTGTTTTTGGTGTCTTGAACATCATTTGGTCTTGGACAAAAACAGAAGTTGCTGGAAAAGCTCAGCAGGTCTGGCAACATCTGTAAAGAAAAAGTCAGTTAACGTTTCGGGTCTGGTGACCCTTCCTCAGAACTGCCTTTCGGTTTTTGTCATTTGGTCTTGGTACGTTTCGGATTGCTACTTTGCACTATATAACTGCTGTCATTAAAACCACACCCAACAGAGGTGGAATGATCATGATGTACGTAATCTTAAGTGATTCACTCGTAGATAAAACTTCAACCGAAACGTGTGTTGTAACTTTCCGAGTAGGAGGATCTTGCATCTCTTCACGAAGTCCAAAAGGAACTTCCCAACCAATTATTTTTGAAGGCATGTCAATATTCAAAAATGCATCGCGATGAAGAACGAAGCAGCATAAAACATTCAGCCCGTCGATCAAATTCCGTGATTCCATTAGATTATGGTTGTTCCATACTTGCATTGTATTTAAAAACCGAAAGAACTGCGGATGCTGTAAATCAGGAACAAAAACAAAGTTGCTGGAAAAGCTCAGCAGGTCTGGCAGCATCTGTGAAGGAAAATACAGAGTTAATGTTTCGGTTCCGGTGACCCTTCCTCAGAACCTTTCTGAGGAAGGGTCACCGGACCGAAACATTAACTCTGTTTTTTACCCCT